TGGGTGGGTGGGTGGGTGTGGGTGTGTGTGTGTGTGTGTGTGTGTGATTGGCTGGTACTTCTGATTATGCAGTGGATGAGATTGAAGCAAAGCAATGAATGACCCCTGTTTCGGAGTCTGTCAGTCAACAACCGGAATCTGTGCACGGCAAATCCGCTTCCAGGAAGCATGAGGGAGATTTTAGCTTTGGACAGTTGGGCAATCTTGAATACGTTGAGTGGTTCGACGGTAGAAGGTTCACTGCTCATGCCAACCGAGACACTTTCATTGCATAGTCATGATTTAGTAATGTTTCGAGGAGATGCATTCTCTACGATCTCTACTTATGTACAACAGATGTTTGCCGAATAATTTTCGCAGGAAGCTGAAGGTCCGAACTGGTGTTCGGTCCTGGAATCTCTCAGGACGATTTCGAAAAACGACAACCCCTTCGGAACCCCTTCGGAAAGACTTGCCCATGTATGTTTGTCGTGTGGGTGTGTGCTGCGTGTAGGCTCTCGTGGAAGTGCTCCAGCTTTAGGTGCTGGGCCCGTCGGGCCTCGGTGCCGTCCTGCTCAAGGGGGAATGGCCCTTGTGCCTTCGCTTCGAGAGCAGAGCCAAGCCAAGCCCTGCATCTTGCCGAGCACAAAAGACAAAGCGAGAAGCAGCTCTGACCAGTAGACAGATGCCCACAGCCTCGACTCCAAAAGCATCAGAGATTCAACCAGCATCTCAAGGACACCGAGGCATTCACCGCTCTACTTGACCCTTTGACTTCATCTTCTCCTCGAAGATCGCTTTGTCCCTCGCCTTCGTCGGCTGCAAAACGCATCTTCGATTCGTGTGTTGGGATTCGGCCTGGCTGTCCGTCTCCAAGAAGAGAATCTCCTTGCAAACTCACAAAATCGGATCACCGACGACGTCTTCGACTCAGTTCTAGCTTAGCAGCGAAGTTGCACCGGGCACCGCGGACTCTCCACAGGGCTCTCGCATGCGGAACCGAGAGATTAACAAATGCGCTTGCGCAACTATGAACATCATGAGCGATGAGTAGTTACAGGCCTCCGGATTCCCAAGCGGCAGAAAGGGCCTAAGCCTCTTCAGAGCACAGATAGTGGATGATGTCCCCGACATGCTATTATTGGAGTGAAAGACGTAAGCCGTATTTGCAAATGAAATCCCAGCGGAGTCCAGCTTCGTGGCCCTGAACAGTGCTTGAGTTCAAACGATCCATTTCAAATCACCTTCCACCATAGAACGTACCGGGAGGAATAAGCTGAGGTTCTTCTTTGTTGATGCTGCCGCCCTCATCGATGTCGACGAACTGAGGCGTTGCACGACTGTCTTGTACAGCAGAAGAAAACACCGGCCTGGAACAAATAGTGTAGCTCTTCTACCTCGGAATGTCAAAAAGATTCCGTCCGACGTCACTACCAGTAGGCTTTCACAGATTTTCAGAGTAACAGGCGGTCCCGTCGAAGCCCGCTGCCAAGCAAGATGACGTCCAACCTCCCAAAGGAGGCTTTTCGACTTATTTCGACTTCAGCCGCCAATTGTGCGTCGTGAGTCATGCTACCTGGTTACCTGCACTTGCTTTTATCCTGAGCTCGCACACTTGTGAAAATTTGTTGCAGCTCAGAGATTGTTGGAACGTCACAAACGGTTCTTGGCCTGCACGGTCCAGACTGCCTGTCTGCTTTGCATCGATGACATTCCAGACATCCGCCTCGTGCCACAACGTCTTTCAGAAGTGAGTAAACTGAAAACGGGAAAGTTGACCATTGAGGCGTCCGCTGGAGATCCAAACTTCTCTTTGATCCACTCCCGAACCCGCCGAACAAGATCGCCGTCCTTCTTGGACAAATCCTGCAGAAGCTTTACAAATCAGTCAATGCAGGCTGGGGTTTCCATCCTTTCCTGTCCTCCAATGTCAAACTCTCTGCGCTCGGACCCACGATGTTTCGAGCACTCAACTCCTGGCGCTTCAAATCATTCGTGTGGCGACGGTTCGCCCGTTGCGTGCTGTCGCGTGCTGCTCGTGCCATCTCGTGCGTGGCATGCAGTAGGACTGTTGCAGCAGCTAAGCGGCTGCGGAGCAAAAAATGCGCATCATGCCAGCCGCGCAAGAAGGCCAAGTCGTCGCAAGTGCCAGTCGAGCTCCTGAAGCACTCATGTTCGTAGAATACCTTGTGGACGAACGACATGTTCTTGGCGGATGCACTAAACCTGTGCACAAAAACAAGAGGATGCTAATCTTATCTTTTCTCATCTTCAAAGGCTCGAGGAACAGTCAACACATGTTCGCCTAAACATCAAGGTCTACGGTCAAGTCTCAGACATTAGTACTGTTACTGCACAGTATCGGGAGCATAAAGATGGCAGCTGGCCTTCAACTCGACGTCCATCGAACCTGACTTGCCCAGCTTCCGGGGTCTCGAACACTGTCTCGCCACCGGTTTCGATGATGTTATGCTACTTGTACTGCAGTCAGATCCAGAAGTCAGTCGCAAACCATCTGGATCCAGTTCTCGTCGCCATCCTACGAGAAAGTAGCCACCTGCTGCAGCGCGGGCCAGGCCCCAGCACTCTGCGTGTCTTTCAGCAGTTGTGCTCTGCATTACATGCTTGCTGTGGAGTGGTCTCTGGCTGCAATACTGGCGCTGGCCTCCTTTGTCGGTTAGAGTTGAGATGAGGGCATGCCGTTCTTTGGCCTTAGCTGCTGACTTGTCTGGCAGTGCTGCAAGGGAAGCACGGTCTTTCCTGCTGAGGTCGTTGCCCTTCTTAACTCTTGGCTCTGCTCCTCCAGCAACGCAGACTTCCGCCTGAGGCCCGGCACACACGCACCACAACAACAATAACGAGAAACCGGCAGCCTCACAGCTGCCAAAGACTCTGTCATCACGCGCCATGCAGCAAAGCTACATGCCGAGGCGGCTATAGCCCGTCTATATACTGACTTCACTCGGCGGCAAACATGTTCATAGCCGTGAGCAGAACTGTATCACGCCGTGACATGCACATGAAGTCGGTGTCGAAGCATTATCTACTTGGTTTCCCACGACTGCACGATCCTACGTGACTCCACTTTGCGCGTTAACTAATATCTTGCACAAGAATGAGCCAAAAAACGAGCAAATGTCAGCTGTTCAAGAAGCCTGGCTTTGTGAGTGAAGCTGTGTAGCTGACGAACGGGATGCTGCTTTTTTGCACTTGAAAGTTGCCTGAGAGCAGGCCGCCGCACAATCGACAGGCGTGCGCAGTGGAGCAGACAGTTTTGTCCCGTCCAAAAGCTACAGAGGAATATCTGAATGCAGGAAGCTTTGCCAACAGCGATCAAGAGTATTTAACTGATGGAGCGAATGCAAAGCTTCCGGCATCGGACTAATTGAGTGTTTTTGTACAGTCTCGCTGCAGGTCGGGCATGTAAACAAAGCGACAAACGGCGCATGTGCGCTTTGCCAACTCATCCAACCTCGTGTGGCATCACAGCTTGACGGCAAAGCGGAGACTGGAAGAAGGGTAACAGTCGGCCCGCCTCCATGGCCGCATTGTCCCCTTCGGGCAGCGCCTCAAAAGTGATGCAGCGCCTTCGTCCCGACGACTAGACGACACTGACTCTGAGGACTCAGGATCTGTCCTTCCATTGGATGCCAAGCGTATTGAGCGGCTTGCGCTCGCCATCCACGTAGACATAGCTCATGTTGGAGAGAGAGATGGGGGGTCGCTCTTGCCACACCACAGTCGGATCCCTGGGTGCGGCGAGCCCTGCAACGCCCGCGACCGCGACAGTGAGGCCCGCCGTCGCTTGCACTGGCGCCGGCAGTGCTGGCAGGCTCGGACCAGGTGGGCCGTCCTCCACATCGTCTTTATAACATATACATATATAGTCTGTGCACACACACACACACCTTCTACATCCTTCTACAGCATGTCAACATATACACCACATATCCCCGAGACAGAGGGCGGACCAGAGGCACGCTCTTCGCTTCTGGCGGTGCCTGCACGCGATATCTCGCATCAGTCGCTCTTTATATGCTTTCTCCTACATTCCCTGGCCTGGCAAGACCTGGCCTGCAGGGTGTCCTCGGTCGATTCGTTCGCTTTCTGAAAAAAAAAACCCAAGAAGATCAATGCCGCCTATACTGTTTTTCCCATACTTCCTCAATCCAAAAGTGTTTGTCACCGCAACGAACACCCTGGAAACAACCCCCGCAAACAGATTAGGGATTTGTGTGGCCCTGCCATGTGACCTTGTATTTGTAAGCAGGCAGCAACAGAAGTAGCAATAGTAGTCGTGGTAGCAGCAGTACAAGCATCAGCAGAGGAGGTAGTAGCCAAAGTAGTAGTAGTAGTAGCAGTCGTCGTCGTCGTCATCGTCGTCGTAGTAGTTCGTGTATCTCACGCCACGTTTTCGTGGCTCTTGGTAGGGGTCTTCACAGGCATTTACGGCGTTTTCGGGCTTCCCGGTAGAGCAATCACGAGGGTAGCAATTTGAGTGTTTTGATGAAGTCATCGTGGTGACGATTCTACGGTTCAAGCAACCATGGGTCTGATGATAATGATTCTGTAGTTGTATGTACGTCACCATCGCCCCCCCAACCCCCCACCCCCACGTAACCCAAGCAAGAACAATTACCTCAGAGACGCGTTCTGGCAATCACGAGGGTAGCAATTTGAGGGTTTGGGAGGTTTTGCAGATGCAAGCAATGTATTCATTATGGTGACGATTCTATGGTTTTAGCAACCATGGGTCTGATGATAGCGATTCTGTCGCTGTGCAGTATGCACCTCATCATCGCCCTCTCGTAAACTGTGCAAAAAATACACGTTTAAGACACACGATGCTAGCCTAGTAAAAGAGCAGAAGTGGATGGTAAGTAGTGTAGTGGTGGTAGTAGTAGTAGTAGTAGTACTAGTAGTAGTAGTAGTAGTAGTAGTCGTAGTTCCAGAGTAAGGAACCTACTCGCTCAATACTCAGAGAATGCAGCCTTTCGCTTGCAGGGTCGACAATGGCTTCGACACTACTGTGCCCTGTGCTCCCAGTGGATCGCCTGCTCTAGCAAAGTCAAGCAGCACTACAGACTGTCGCATCAAATTGATCACGAAGAGTTCATGATCCCGGCGAGCCGTCTGTGCTCCAAGTTCAATACCCCAGGATCCCCGTGTGCGCACTGTCGAGCTACTGTTAAGGCTCCCCGACAGCATCCTGCCAAATGCACTGTACTGTGGCAGATAACTCTCATGCATTTGAAGCTGCAAGCTGCCGGGCATGGACCAACACAACTGCAGGAGTTCTTCGGCCCCCTGGTGGAGGATCAGCTAAGCTTGATGGAGTGGGCGCCGACCAAGAGGGAAGCCGAACCGAGCTCGGCCCCTGCCGAGCGCAGCAAGGCCTCGCGAACGGAGCAGGGCAAGGGGAGGCCGTGGCATCCGGCCCCCACAAACAAACCCACCCTGGCGCAAAGGCGGGGGCAAGGGAAGACACACGGAAGGCCCCAACCTCACCTACTTGATCAAGGCATTGGCAAGGTTGGCGCTGCAGCAGGAGACGGCGCTCAAGATTCTCAGACAGGACTCTTCGTTCAACCTGGCAACCAAGGCCCGTTGCCACTCCTGTTCGCAGCGGCACAGAAGTGGAAGAAGTCACAGGAAGAGGGAGCGACCATCACTGCCCTTCGCACGACGCTGTTCGGATGTCTGCTACAGATGCTACACACGGGACTGAAGGACATCGGAGGGACGACACCGACTCCGTTCCAGACAGAGGCAGAAGAAATGAAATGGCTGAAGGACGGCTGTTGGTGCTATCAGAAGTGGTCGTCAGCACTGGGGAGCCTAGTAGTGGACGAGAACAGGCCCCCTCTTCCGCATACGAAGCTAGTCGAAGCCCTTCAGCTGGTACTACCTATAGTCATGCAGCCCTACATGATCCATCGCTTCCATGCAACCAGGCCACTGGCGGGCAACATGACAGGAGTGACGGCATTCCAGCTGGACATATCGAACCGCACCAAGGGCCACTGCACGGTATGGGAGTGCATGGAAGCCCTGACGGGCCTCTCCGCGCTACAGATCATTGGCCTCCAGCTATGCAGAGACACGCTCAGGCAGTCCCCGGCTGCCGCGCTTGCCCAACAAGCCTTAGCAGAGTGCTCCTGATCAGGCTCCTCAACAGCAGCAGTACATGCTCATTAATGCAAGCGTGAGGGCATGGCTGTATGCTGTCAGTCACATCCAGGCCGCTGATGTACTCAAGTATGGGAGTCAGGAGCAGGCATGGCGAGATCTGTTTCATGCACGTAAACCCATACATGTACATGCCATGCATTCCTGGAGACCCATGCTCAGAGATTGGGCGAACCTGCATCAACAACAGGATGCCTGCGAGTTCCTTGAGCACGTGCTGGGAGCCGGACGGCCCCAAATTCTTCAAGGCCGGTGGGAATCACGCATCGTGAGCGACCTGGAGGGTACGGAGACCAGGGAGCAGCATCATACACACAAAGCTATCACACTAGGGTTCCCCCATCACGAAAGTGCCACTACCCTGCAACATCTCATAGATCAATGGCACACGGGTGGTACATACCTGCAAGCCTGCACACACACCCCCAGAATCCTACTCCTAAGACTGTCACGCTTCAAATCAGGAGATGATGGTAGCACAGTCAAATTACACACTCAGGTCGCCATCCAAACCACAGTCCGAATACCCTGCTACAGAGATCCACAACAGGGTGCAGACTGTGATCGGGTTCCCTATCATGTAGTTGCATGTGTCCTGCACTGTGGAACCACTGCAAATGCCGGGCACTACACTGCTAGATATATTAATCATCTGCCAGCCCGCATTGCCCCACATGCACCTCCGCAATGGAAAGCAGACGACAACAAGCCCATCGAGCACATCAAGACATCGGTTCAACATGAAATGCTACCTGCTCCTGCTCTGCAGGCAGACGCAATGAGCGCAGCGGGGTAGCCGCGTGTGGGGGACGCACAAGCAGCCTGCGCTCCAAAAAATTCAAAACACTAGAAAAATTTGCGCAATGTTGCCCAGCGCCAGCGGCTACTCATCCCTCATTACCACACCCCACACAATTGATGCATGTGACTCCTGCAGGTACTATGGCGACGTCCAAATGACTAGACGGCCGTGTAGCTGCTCCGACTTGGCATAATTCATGTTGCTCGACATCAAGGGCTGTTGACCCCTGCATGCTGAAAAAAGGTATTGTCAAAGCTGTGCCAACACAAACCCTCAATCCATCCTTCCCTAACCCCACCATGGACTGTGTCAAAGACACATGCCGATGCAAATCCTCAAAGCAGCCGCCCTCCCCAGAAGGCCTTACTATGAGTAGTGCGGCACCGACATGGGTGAGGAAATGATGGCCCAGAGGCCACAGGATGAGCATCGGGTGCGCATACCGTATTCTCTGCAAATAACTGACCAGCTCCCTGAAGGCATGCCCACACCACAGCACGTGGCTGAGAAGGTTGCGGCTGACATGATCGCCAGTGGGCAAGTCCGCATGGATGCATGGGAACTACTATGTGACTGCCTCCCTAGCGGGGATCTTCGCCGGGAAGCAAGCACTGATCATACAGATGGCATGTGCTTCATGAGTGGAGCCTACTCACAAGGCCCACTCCATGGCCTACGTCGAAACACGACGGTATTCCCTTGGGTGACACTCCTGATATGCAAGTATATCCGCTCGTGCACGCCCGTAGCCTTCACGAGCTTTGTGCTTCAGCGCAACACCACGATGACAGCCCACAGAGACCTCAATAACTCCCCTGACAGCTGCAATGTGGTATTACCATGCTCATCATTCCAAGGAGGAGGCCTCTGGCTGCAGCCCCCTTATGGTAACTGCCCCTCCAGGGATGGAACCATGCTTGGCACGATCAAAAATCTTACGTTGCCAGGAGTCGCCTTCAACCCGCATCTATGGCATGAGACACGTCCATGGCAGGGACAAAGGATCACAATCGCCATCTACACCATCAAGGCAGTGGTCAATCTCGAACCGAGCCACATCAACACACTGAGGCGACTGGAGTTTGCCACACCGATCACACACCACGACCAACTCACCAACGACGTCACACAGTGAGCGACAAACCAACGAACAGTGTGCCAATTACCTCATGGCCACTCAAAGTGAGCCTCTTCTGGGCCACTTGTAAAGAAGTGAAGCCTGATTGTACAGCACAATGTACATACGTGCCCCTTACCTAATCAATTCACTGATGGCCGGACAAGATCGCCACATACGCCATATTTGCCCACTCCTTCAATTTTGGTCCCTGCCGTAGCATCTCACTGCTGCCGCAACCACTGTGCAACACGCACAATCTCTTGACATGCTGAGTAGGTCGCAAGCTTGCAGCTATTCCTAGCGGGACTTGCCCATGTGGTCTTA